TGTAAGGCATGGATAAAAAGAATAAGGACAAAATGTTACGAGTTATGACTAACTGTCCACCATGTACCAATGTAGCTAGATCATATACAGTCGGCGAGTGCGACAAAAAGGTACAAACTCACAGGGAATACTAAGACTTAACAATCCGCATATCTCTCCTCCTCCCCCCCCCCCCTCTCTCTCTCTGTGTCTCTGACACACACACACACACTCTCTCTCTCTCTCTCTCTCTCCCTCTATCTATCTATCTCTCTCTCTGTTGTTGTTGTTATTGTTGTTGTTGTTGTTGTTGTTGTTGTTGTTGTTGTTGTTGTTGTTGTTGTTGTTGTTGTTGTTGTTGTTGTTGTTGTTGTTGTTGTTGTTGTTGTTGTTGTTGGTCATTTTGTGACAGCTTGTACAATTCCCTGTCCAGGTAGTAAAGCGTCTCTCTCCTCTCCTCTCTCTCTCTCTATCTCTCTCTCTCTCTCTCTCTCTCTCTCTCTCTCTCTCTCTCTCTCTCTCTCTCCCCCTCTCTCTCTCTCTTTCTCTCTCTCTCTCTCTCTCTCTCTCTCTCTCTCTCTCTCTTGTTGTTGTTGCTGCTGCTGTGGTGTTGCCGTTGCTGTTGTTGTTGGTCTGTTGTTGTCGCTGTCGCTGTTGTTGTTGCCGTTGCTGTTGTTGTTGGTCATTTTGTAAGAGCTTGGACAGTTCACTTGTCCAGGCAATAAAGCAGACTCTCTCTCTCTCTCTCTCTCTCTCTCTCTCTCTCTCTCTCTCTATCTATATCTATCTCTGATTCAGTGTGAACGTTCCTGAGAATTTCTCTCTCTCTCTCTCTCCCTCCCGCTCTCTCTCTCTCTCTCTCTCTCTCTCTCTCTCCCTCTCTCTCTCTTTCTCTCTCTCGCTCTCTCTCTCTCTTGTTGTTGTTGCTGCTGCTGTGGTGTTGCCGTTGCTGTTGTTGTTGGTCTGTTGTTGTTGTCGCTGTCGCTGTTGTTGTTGCCGCTGCTGTTGTTGTTGTTGTTGGTCATTTTGTAAGAGCTTGGACAGTTCACTTGTCCAGGAAATAAAGCAGACTCTCTCTCTCTCTCTCTCTCTCTCTCTCTCTCTCTCTCTCACACTCTCTCTTTCTCTCTCTATCTATATCTATCTCTCCTCTCTCATCATGCATGCGTCACACTCTCATGGAAATTTTTATTTTATTTTTTATTTTATAAGATTGCATGCTTCACACTCTCATGTAATATTTCTTTCCTTTCTTCGTCTTTTTGTGAGAGCTTGGACAATCCACTTGTCCAGGCAAGAAGGCAGCAATGCCTGTTCATTCTGGCGAAGTAAAATAAAATATACCAACCAACCAACATAGAACGACCAAAAGGTATTGAAGTTAATTTTGCCCTGGAAAGAAATGTCTATAATTTCGTGTCGTCGGATTAACCAAGCATGCAACGGAAGGAAAGGTATACACGCTTAGACATATATTATTAAGCAATTATCTGCACCAACCTGCATTCCTGCCGAAGCATCATTGTCGGGTGTGGTGGGTCTGCATTCCAACGGACATGTACCCGAGCCCACACACCACGAAAATCGTGAAGCGAGAATTCTCTCGTCTGCAAATGGCAAAGTCTTCACTTCACACTCAATTTGAAATTTCTAGATTCCTAGCTAATAGCCCTTTCCCAAAGGTGCTCTTTTAATTCGGACTTAGTGCTTTGCGCATCCCTCAAAATATGCTGTAAAAGTGCTCCTTTTTCAGTGAAAACAGGCAAAAAGTGCTCCTTTTTCAGTGAAAATAGGCAAAAAGTGCTCCTTTTTCAGTGAAAACAGGCAAAAGTGCTCCTTTTTCAGTGAAAACAGGCAAAAAGTGCTCTTTTTTCAGTGAAGCATAGCCATAATACATGTTCAGATATGAACCCAAGGTCCCAAGCTGAGAAATGAATACGCACTCTTCCATTTATGGGTCCTAGAAAGGCAAACCAGGAAGTAAAGTAACAAACTCACCTTTTACAGCATTGTGTACACCGGGTACAAGCTTCACCAACTTGTTACCCCCAAAAAGCGGCGTGCCAAGGCCCATCGCGATATCGAGCACTCGGAAACTGTGATCGCATGCATGAGCAAACAGATTTTAGCACTTTTTCAGCTCAAAAAAACTTATTCACCAAAAAGTGGCAAAACGCAATAAAGGGCGAAAGAAACGGGCTTTTCCAAAAAGGGCCAAAAAGGGCGAAAAAAGGGCGAGCACCTTTGGGAAAGTGCTACTAGCTAATAGGATTAGGAGCAGACTTCAGGACATTTGTCGCACTCGGGAATCGTCAGTTCGATCCGTACAGGGTTGGTTAGACACAAGAAAAATAGCAAATTTCATTGACTGATATCTTCAATGACTTCATCTTTACCAACGTTGCCAACACAGTTCACCACATAAACTTTCGCGCAAAAAGACAAAAAGACCCAGTCAGCTGGCTTTGAGGATTTAGGTATTAGTTTGTAGTACTTCAGTAGTAGTAGAAAACTAGGTAGGCATCCGATAGCGTTGGGTCACCTCCGCCATGCCTCCAACTAAATCTGCCTTTCGTGGACTGGCTGGCGAATTCCGAGGTAAAGCTGTTGTGCTCCCTCCCCGGGATCGAGTCGTCGGTAGTAGATGTGATGAAGACGTTAGCAGCATTGGTAACGGAGTCCGCAGACCTCGAGGAGCGACTGAATAACAGAATTGACGACTTATCGAGGCAAATTGCAGGGCTGAACGAGGAGGTTGTCGCCCTCAGGGAGTCCGCCATTGCGGCTTCTCCTCGGCCTGCCAGCGCTGACGAACCCCAGAGAACTCGTACTCCGCAGAGTCGACGGCGTACCCGTACCCGTACGCGCAGGGGTTAGGCCCAGGATGCCACGCGGGACCAGTCCCAGGATGCCACGCGGGACCAGTCCCAGGATGCCACGCGGGCCACGACTGATGAGGGCGGCGTGCAGCATGCTGGCCAGCGCAACTTGGAGCTGGAGGACGACGACAACGAGCCCCAGACTCTGGACATCATTGGTGACGACAGCTGGCAATTAGTTGCACAGGAACCCCCCAGGGCCAAGAAACCAGTAATCTTTGTGGGCAACCTAGGTACAAACTGCTCTGAAGAGAGCATCAAAACTTTCGTGAAGCGGCGCGCTGAGGCAGTGGGATCAACGGCCAGTGTTCACAACAGCAGCATCCACACAACGCAGACAGGAAAGGTGTCAGCTAGGATTTGTATAGATGCCACAGACCTGAGCCTCCTGACAACCCCGGACTTCTGGCCAAGGCCTCTATACGCCCGGCCATGGGAGTACCAAGACCGCCCCAAGCCCAATCGACACCACCCTGCCGGCGCTGCGAGAGGTGACCTACACTGGATGATGCTGACAGCGCTGACAGCGACAGCATGGCATCTGCTGGCACCCCGCAATGATCAATGCAGCTCCGCCGCTCCGCTGGCTGGTGACCAATGCATTTGGCCTCACCTACAAGCTGGGAGAGCTGCAGCATGCACTGCTCACCGATAACGTCGACATAGCAGTTATCACAGAAACGAAGTTCTCCGCCCAGACTGTAGCCTCTGAGACAATATTTCCAGGATACTCGCCTCCCACCCGACGTGACCGGGATGCATTTGGTGGCGGCATTACTGTATGGCTGAAGTCCGGCCTCCCAGTGGAGCACCTCGACCAGATTCCCCCTGATGACCACGAAGTCCTCTGGCTCGCCATGAGTCTTTCCACGCAACAATCTGTTGTTATCGGTGCCTTGTATTGGCCTGGATCCTGTGCGGACAGCGACACCTGTCTGATTGAGGATCTTAGACCTGCACTAGACGTGGCCCGCACTCACGGTACTCACATAGTGGTAGCTGGGGATTTTAATGTCCATCACGAGACTTGGCTCTGCAGCAGCAAAACAACTGTAGCTGGAGAGGCCTTGGAAGAATTGTGTGCTGAGCATCAACTCCACCAGCATGTCTTGCAGCCGACTAGGGGTCTGAACACCCTGGACCTCATCCTCTCCAACATGCCCGTTGCTATCGACACCACTGTCAAAGCGCCACTTGGTCGCTCTGACCATGGGGTTGTTCTTGCCGACTTTTATCTCGCCCCTGATGCTGAGCAAGCTACCTCCAGGACTGTCTGGCGCTACAATCAGGCAGACTGGGGCGCCTGCGGGCCTTCTATCGAGCTACTGACTGGTCCACCATTGTGACTGACGACCCTGAAGAGTCCTGCAGGAAGCTAAGTGACGTCATCTCCAGTGGCATGCAGAAATGTATCCCCGCCAAGCAGCTTGTTACCCGCCCAGCAGACCCCAAATGGTGCACTCCTGAGTGAACCACAGCATTGAACACTAAAGACAAGGCATGGAAGGCCTGGAGACACAATATTTTCAGCGAAGCCCACAAGGCTTGCTTCATGCGCTCAGTAGAAGATGCTATCCTCGCGAATGTGCGAGCTTGCACATCCTGGGAACTGAGAGTTCGTCGGAAACTGTCACGCGGAGGACTGAGAGACAAGCAATGGTGGTCGGTGCTCAAATCTGCTGCTGGCGCCAGTCATGGCTCGTCTATACCATGCTTGGTAGATGACGCTGGTCACCAACTCCGTATGAATGCTGCCAAAGCGAACGGCCTTGGTCGCTACTTCGCCAATAAATGTAGCCTTGGAGATGATGACTTGGGCTCGGGGGATCTCCCTCATGTTCGCCAACCCGGGGTCACCCCACTTAGCCGAATCCACTTCCACCTGCAAACAGTGAAACGCCTCCTGAACCAGCTCGACGTTGGCAAGGCGTCCGGTCCGGACAACATCCCTGCCCGAGTGCTCAAAGAGTGCTCCCATGAACTTGCATCGCCTCTCACGTCTCTCTTCGCCCTGTGCTTCCGTAAGGGGTTCATCCAGAGGCCTGGAAGAGTGCTCGAGTTGTGCCAGTCTACAAGAAGGGCAGCCTATCCAACCCTAAGAATTACCGCCCAGTCTCCCTCCTCCCCATCATCTCCAAAGTGATGGAGCGTATTGTGAACTGTCAAATTGTGAATCACCTTGAAAAACATCATCTCTTGTCAACCAAGCAGTACGGATTTCGCAGTGGCCTTGGAACAGCGGACCTACTAGCAGTGCTTGGGCATGATTGGTCGCTGGCACCTGGTTCTGGTGGCTGTGCCCACATCCTGGCTGTCGACATTGCTGGTTCGTTTGACCGCGTGTCGCACCCCGGCGTTCTACACAAAGCAGCCACTCTCGGTATTGGCGGTAGCCTGCTGCAGTGGCTACGGGACTATTTGCGGAATCGCACACTAAGCGCAATCGTCAATGGACAGGAATCTGCTCAATTCCAGATTAAAGCTGGCGTACCCCAAGGCAGCATCCTGGGACCCACCTTATGCTTGATGTACGTCAACGATGCTGAGACCTGCCTTTCCCCATCAACGCGAATGGGTGTGTACGCAGATGACACCACGCTGTACACCATCATACGATCCAGAGATGACTCTGCTGGCAGTATTGCAGACATGCAATCTAGCCTGGATCGATTGAGTAGCTGGGGAGAACAATGGCGAGTTCGCTTTGAGCCGACAAAGTCGCAGCTGCTGCATATTGGCCACCACCGCAACCCCTGGCCACTCCCAGACCTAATGTTCGGAGCCCATTATATTCCCTGCGGGGACGAGCTGAAGCTCCTGGGAGTGACCTTCGACAGCAAACTCACCTTCAGACGCCACCTCCGCAATGTTTCTCTTTGTGCTGTAGCCCGGCTAGGAATTCTGCGTCGAGCATCAAGTTTCCTTGGTCGTGAAGGACGCTTGACAACGTACAGAGGCTTTGTACGCCATGTACTCAAATACGCACCATTGACATGGATGGGCGCAGCCAACTCTCACCTGCAAAGTCTCGACCGAGTACAGCGGAAGGCCCTTGCTATCATTGGTCCTGACGCCTTGCTGCAGAGCCTAGCTGCCCGCCGCCAAGTGTGCATTCTCACGTACATGTACAAGCTAATGTGCCTTCAAGACCATCCAGACCTCTCTGCGCTCGTGCCGCCTCGCCAGGAAGCTAGCCTCGTCCCGCGGACAAGGTCGCAGCTCCGTGTCCTCCACCAGCATCAGCTACAAGTAGTGCTCCTCCCTACGGCCCCCAACTTTCTCCAGCGTTCGTTCCCATATGGTGTAGTGGATGAATGGAACAGGCTTCCGCTAGACATGTTTCCGGATCCGATGCCCCAGTTGAAGTCTCTCCAATCCGTCAAGACGAAGGTCCATCGCCACTTGCGTCAAAAGAATTGGCTCTGGGCTACGGACCCCCTGTGAGGCTATGCCACCCGTCAATGAGCAACTACCCTCGTCCATCATCTCTCTCTTGTTTTATTTTATTTCTCTTCTCATCTCTTTCTTGTCTTATTTTATTTATTTCTCTCTCTCTCTCTCTCTATCTATCTATTTATCTATCTATCTATCTATCTATCTCTCTCTCTCTCTCTCTCTCTCTCTCTCTCTCTCTCTTTCTCACTTGATCACCCTCCCTCCCTAGCTGCATTCCTATCGATGGACACTTCAACTAATCTCTTTTACACATTTGTTCGAACAGTTGATGAAGACAATTCGAACGCGGCCTTAGTATGTCGAATCCAGAGGCGAGGATGCCGATTCGCTATAGTATAATGCTTCTCCGTCCTTCCTGTTCTTGCGTTGCAGAGACTAAGAGCTTGTTGCAGTGATCAACAGCAGAGCGATCACCTTCGGCGTTGGCTCTCGATCTGAAGCAGCAAAGAGCACGAAGCACTCGTGGAGAATGACCCGTGTATCCAGGTAAATTTGAATGCGCCAGCAGTTGCACCAGGGCCGGGTGCTACGTGGTGTTCTGGATGAAGCAAGCAAATTCGACAGGGGTATGGCACTTGGAAGGGTTCAAGAAGCACTGCGTCGTTTGGATCTTGAGTCTGGCACTTTGAATCTTGCCGATGTCATCACCTCATCCGATGGTGCACAAGACGCGGTTAGGCAACTTCTTTGAAAAAAACATCGATCAGCACAGCTATCACCACATTATGTACTGTTTCAATTCTAAAGGTGCCGCGCGAACTTCAGGATCGGAGAAGTGTTTTTTTTTTTTTTTTACTGAATCCACCTCCTACTGATAGACTTTAACAAAGAGAGGAGAAGAAGAAAACAAAAGAAAATAATGATCGAGACAGCAAAAGAGGAAGACAGGCAATGTACTGGTAGGGGCTCTCACTCAGGGACTAGCCACGCCGACCTAGGGCTAGGGTGTGCTACATCCAGAAGTGTGCTGGCCCACTTGCTGGAATTCTTATTGTCCATCGTTAGAAATCATTAATTGTAGCGGGCCGTGGTAAGTTGTCCTCGCGAGAGGGCTTTACAGCTTTCAATGGTGTGTATGCCCTTGCGACACTGCCATTAGTGCAGCGGCTCCAGGAGTCCAGGTAGATACCCCCATTTGCCATACATGTACGTGGTATGCTGATGATTCCATTCGTGGATTAAGACTGCAGTTTCCGCGCCTGTTGTGGGAAAATCTACAAGACGGTCAGCAACATGGCTCTTGCACCAATTCGAACAAGACTCTGCTCCGGATAAAGCCTGGCATGCTGTCAATCGTCCATCATGCTAAACTCTCAATCATGGCTTACATTATTGTTAGGTCCACAAGTTCATGTATGCACGCACTCTCACACCAACGTCCTTTATCACACATATGCATGTACACACGCACTCATACACACGGCATGCACCCTTTCCCGCTTCACACCTACAACTTACTTCTCGCACTCAAGTATCATTCATTTGGCCTGGGTAGCTACATTCGCCCTCTCGTACATCCATTGCCATAGCTACCCAGGCCATTATAATTATAGCCTTGTGTTTTGCTCGCCTTTCACTCTCACTCGACCGACTGACGATCTTGGCTAGAACTCATTTCGCTCCGTCTGTTGTCCCGTCGTCCGTTGTGAAATACTCAACATTGGCGCCCAACGTGGGGCTCGAACCCACGACCCTGAGATTATTAAGAGTCTCATGCTCTACTGACTGAGCTCAACATTGGCACCCAACGTGGGGCTCGAACCCACAACCCTGAGATTAGTCTCATGCTCTACCGACTGAGCTCAACATTGGCACCCAACGTGGGGCTCGAACCCACGACCCTGACATTATTAAGAGTCGCATGCTCTACCGACTGAGCTCAACATTGGCACCCAACGTGGGGCTCGAACCCACGACCCTGAGATTAGTCTCATGCTCTACCGACTGAGCTCAACATTGGCCCCCAACGTGGGGCTCGAACCCATGCTCTACCGACTGAGCTCAACAGTATTATAACAATGCCTATGTCTCATGTCTCCAGCATTTTTATTCCAGTTTTGACCTTCGAGCTTGCAACTAATGAACCCTTTCAGAACATCTGCTTCCGCGAGATGTCCTCGCCACACACCTACCCACTACTTGTCCTCATCTCGCGTCTCTGATTGTGTATATGTGTATATGTGATTTTATCATTAATTGTTATAATACTTGTGCTTGAGAATTATGAATTCTCGTCTAATGAGTGTTCTGAACACGACACTCGGAGTCACGGAAAGGTTCGGCCTTGTGGAGACCTTGAGAAAATAATCATTCTCTCAAGTGGTTATCCGCGTGCCTATTATATTTATTGGCAATTTGGCGGGTATACTCAGAGTCATTTGGCGGCTTAGCTGCAAGCCATCCAGAGGCCCCAAGCCGAGTCATCATACCCTTGTTTCAATACTCTAATCAGCTGATCGTATGAGCACTCCTAGATTTATCCAACACAATCATGATTGCTCTGTTGCTAGGTGGGCCAGAAACAAATAATTATATAAAGGCCTCTTTTACGGGCAAACAGAATACAATTGACAGTTGCATGGCGAATGATTAGAACACAACACCAAAAAATGAAAACAACTGTATGTGTGAACAAAACGCAAAAAACGAGGACAAAAACAAAAAATACCAAAAAAACAGGAAAATACAGGGGCCAAAAACAATGGAAAGAACAGAAAAGAGATCAAATGGCAAGGGAAAAAGAGTGATTGACATGACAGTCGGATTGTATTATGTTCCAGAGGCGCAGGGTACACAAAAATACGGAATAGGGGGCCACACGATTGCACTGTTTTGGGGAACAGAGTCCGTGGATACGGTAAATAACGAAAACAGACGAGCGACACCCACATAATTATATCGAGCTATAAAAAATGCACCTCAGCGCTAAAAGCATCATGTACTCGTATAGGCATTGCCACAGGCGCAAGCTGTAATGGATGGTTCTTACAGTTCTTTGTCTCCACGACTTTAAAATCCACGTATAGCGCTGTTGCTGTTAATCCGCTTTCACTTGCTACTACATCATGTATTTGTAGTATTGTGCATGTCACTTTGTCGCCGGCCCGCAGTGTCTGTTTCCAATCTCGAAGGATACGTTGGCAAGACCTACTTTCAGAAAGCATAGGGGAGCAACAACCAGTGAAGCAAATGGCTCCGAACTCAGAGATATGACGCATGGCCGCTTCTGGCCCCTCGTCTGGATCAACCAGTTTCCAAAGTGACATGACGCATGCATGATCTCTCGGTGTTCTAAGCAACTTCCAATACTCAGATTTCCTTTTCTCCAGAACAGGCAGCAAATATTCGCACGTGTCGTTCTCGGTCAGGGCGAGGTTCAGTACGTCGCTGCTTGACAGTTCCCGGACGATTTTATCGAACACTATCCATATGTTGTCTCGAAAGGCAGCCAGGATATTATGTTCCTGTCTTTCCTGAGCCTTCCCGACATAGTCATCAGACGCTACGGCATGGTTAATGGAGGAAGCGTCGACAACATCCAAGCACTGACTAGGTTTATGATCATAGCATTGTTGCTCTTCCCTTCGTTGCATAAATATCTTCTTCATAACGTCGCCCACATGAAAGAAGCCATACATTTACTTCAAGGATTCGCCTATCTGTTATGCTCCTTCATATAAACGTTACACAACACGAGCTGCAACTTGAAGCAAAGGCATCTTCACTAAACCAAAGAAAAAGATTAGCTGGCCAAAGCTACTCTGGTCACATCTAATCCTCGTGACGAATGAACTTGAGTTTCCGAAGCACACTCACAGGACTGAGTAAGTCTTGTACATAGCTGTTTTCTGATGATCGCTTAGTGCGTGAAACTCGGAGTAAAAACGCTTTCTCTGTCCTCCTATTGTTTGTACTGTACCTGTATAATTACCGTACTGGCAATATATGTTGCCGCGTAACGCGTAACGCAGGGGGTGCGGCGTAACGCGCGACCAGGCTAGTGCGACAAATTTTCGTTGCGTTCGTAACGCGCGTCCGGCGGGGTGCGGCGATCTTTTCATTGCAGTTTGCAAAAAATGATGCGGCAATAGCAAAAAAATGATGCGGCAATAGCAAAAAAGTGATGCGGCAATAGCAAAAAAAGGACTGCGGCAATATAGAAACCTGTGTAACGGCTCCTGTGCGACTTTGCATGTAACGCCCTGCATGCTGTAAACATGTGCCAATGTAACGCTTCATGGCCTCACTGCGACCATAATATATTGCCAGTACGGTATCCTGTAGATGTATGCTACAGACCTGATGTGTGCGGAGCTGTACAGACCTGATGTGTGCGGAGCTGTACAGACCTGATGTGTGCTGAGCTGTACAGACCTGATGTGTGCGGAGCTGTACAGACCTGATGTGTGCGGAGCTGTACAGACCTGATGTATGCGGAGCTGTACACAGTACAGACCTGATGTGTGCGGAGCTGTAACAGACCTGATGTGTGCGGAGCTGTACAGACCTGATGTGTTCGAAGCTGTACAGACCTGGTGTGTGCGGAGCTGTACAGACCTGATGTGTGCGGAGCTGTACGGACCTGGTGTGTGCGGAGCTGTACAGACCTGATGTGTGCGGAGCTGTACAGACCTGGTGTGTGCGGAGCTGTACAGACCTAATG